TCTTTTCCAAATGCCACAATTGCCCTTTATTCCAATAATTCACTTTTATTTTCCTTTTTAATTCCAAAAACAATAATCTCATATTTCTTTTAATTTCCAAAATAATATTTTACTCATATATATTAATATTAGTAATAATAATAATTAATAATAATAATATCAACATTACTATTAATTATCACGTTTTATCACTATATATTAATATTATGATTTTCTTGATCCTCAAATAACCCCACACAAAACAAGCCAACGAATAAAATAACACTGAAACTAAAAATAATTAAAATGGGTGTTACATAAAGTCCCTGGAGCACCTGAAGCCTGGGAGGAAGACGCTACTGATTCCCTTTTAGAGAGTTATAGAATTGCTTCCCTTTGTGCATGTCAAGCAAGGTGGATGGTGAATTTGGTCGAAGAGATTATAACGAAGAATCATGGAGCAATTACCAAAAGGATCGACAACATGTCTGCTATCAATCTGAAAAAGAATTGGATAACACATGGAAGAAGCAAGCACATAGAAATGTGATTACATTATCTTTGAGAGCAACTGGCAAAAGCGAAGCTGAACTTAGAACATTGCGGAACTGAGAATCAGATTGCAAACATCATTACAAAATGGGTGCAGGTCAAAGTATTCAAGAAATTAAGGTCTATAATGAATATAGATAGCTTAGACACAATGAATCATGTGGTGTGTTGAATTGTAGTTCCTTGTGTCGAAGCATGTTGCTCGACATAAGCAAGGAAGTGTCGAAATTGTGGTCATGACGAAGTGTGTCTCGACAGGATTGTGACTTAGTTTTATTTGGTTGGTTTAGCTAAGTTGTTAGGTTAATTGGAGATTGCTTGTTGTGCAAGCAATATCAACCTAGAAATAGAGAGGTACCCTATTATTGATTGTATCACAACACGAAAATTCAGTGCATAGAAAAGTTGAATAAATCTCATTTTAAGAGCAGCAGTTTCTCTGCAGAATTCACAACTTTTCTTCTTCCTCTCTTTTCTGCAAAAAAACCTAATTCTCTTTCATCCTCAATTTATCTTTTTTTTTCTTCTTTTTAAATAATCATTGTGCAACGATATCATCTTGCAAGAAAAGTTGGTTGATTCGCTCAAGTTAAGAGTGAAGAACAAGAGGGATAATCAATCAGAAAGATTGATTCTTGTTCATGAAAATTTGATTCAAAATTTGATTTAATTCCAACAATGACGATCCCTAATTGATTTATTCAAACATGAACTTCGAGAACTATAGGTGTTTTATTTTAGAATCTAAAATCTTAAATATATTTGTGTCGATTGCGAAAGAAAAGGCAACCCAGATACGATTGTAGTCCAAAAGAATATGAAACGATATCGAACTACAAATTGCTAAACAATAAAGTAGCAAAACACCCACCATGACAAAGTGTCAGAAACACGTCTAGATATGCACGCTACGAAAGTGGATGTCGTAGATATTTATCTACTTTTTCATAAATTGCTTATTATCGTGTTCAAATTTGAATAATCAATATGGTAAATCTTCATAGATTATCACAACCTTTGTCATGTTTTTATTTAGCTAAATCATGTTAGGTTAAATTCAGTACTTATACACATCTACCTGTAAAATCAATCTTTTTATACTTTTTGACATTGTCGTGCTCTTGCAGCTTAGCAATCAAGTTTTTGAGATCCCACTAGAACACCATAAGTGGGACGAATTTTAAATACCATTAGTGGGATCATTATCTTCTTTTTACTGTGTAGACAAACCGAAATATTTCCCCACTCCGACATTTTCAAAATTGCCTTTAGATATATATCCAATCAACAAAATTTTTTTTCCACCATAACCTCATCTTTTATTTTCATTAGTTGATTCACGCCAACCATGTTTTTCTCTCAGACTTCACAATTCTAATCGATGACAATTATTTGTTTCTTTTTCAATTATTTTCTAAAAAAATATATTTTTCAGATGCATAGGAGAGTTTCCAGATTCCAATATCCGGATTGTATTCGAAATTTGAACTCCCGACATATTTTTGGCAAAATTGTTGTGACTTGCTGATGATAATGTGATAGTAACATCTAAGGTTTTTATTGTTCTACCTTAAGACATACTGCCGTTCGCAAGTGGTTGCATTACCAAGATTATTCTAAAAAAAAAAAAAAAAAGTATCAGAATTAACTTTTTTTGAACTGAAAAATAGTAAAAGCATTGTGAGGGATAAGTAACTAGACTATATTGATAATAATAAAATGTAACCCATCCTACAGAAAATATTTTGGTGGTAATTATACTATCTATTTTAACAAGATAATTAGTAATTGAAACAATAGATCAATAAAAATCATATTCTATTAAAAGTTACCTCAATTTCACTCTGAAGTTGATTGATTCCTTCGGTATTGGAACAGAAATTCTGAATATTCAGGTTTTGTTCACGGACTTGTATTTCTCATTTACTCATTTCAAGTTACAAAAAAAAAAGGCAATATCAAAATATAACTAAAGGAGTAACCGGAAAAGGCCAAAAAGAGAAACAAGTAACCCACCAAGGAGACATAGTCTAAGAACCTTCTTCCTCTTCCTTGGACTTAAAGAAGTAAAGTGAGATAAAGTTTCTTCTAAAATAGATTCACCGTCCAGAAAATACACCTGATAATAGCATCACAAGCATAGGAGAATTAACAATACAAACAAAAACTTCTTCTGTCTCATAAGTAACAAATCAAAAGGCTTGCTTGCACACATTATCTATCTCTTTCAAGTTGTATTTGCAATGAGTACAACAGAAGTGTAGATGTCAAGGAATCACAAAAAAGCATTCAATGAAACATCAAATAAGGTTGCATATATTTATGGATAATTTTAATTTACACTTATAATGCACATATGCAGCACCAATGCTTGAGATGAGACAATGCCTAACATAAGCAAGAAGAAATTCATCACTTACTGGTAAACCATTGAGAAGAGCCAGAGCTAGAGAAACATGGAATGTCCATATTAAAATCCTTTCCAGAAAATTTGGAAAATATGCAACGATCTTTGGTCCCCAGCGAGGCTGATATGATGTTAGGTGAATTGAACGTGCCATTGAGATAACATCCCCAACAAAAATGAAAGTAGCATTACAATTAGTTTCTTTAAGGCCAGAAGTTTTGGAAACTGGAAACCTGTTTTCTTCATGCAAACACTCATGAAAAGGACTTGAATATGTGATCTCAACCCATACCATTCCAGGCTCCTGAACTGGAGCTAAACAAAACTCATCCTATGAACAATATGAACTGAAGATTCAGTATGCATTGTAACTTAGTGTCTGAGAGAAAGAGATTAGAGACAAACTAGAAAGGTTACTAATATTCAGATAATTATCTACCTGAGAGCACAGACAGCTACTTCTCTTTGATGTAGCTAGCCCCCAGCCATCACCGCACTTATCAAGTTTGACAACATCTTTGGCGTTTAAGCAGTGAGTATTCCATCTCCCATTTGATAGTTCAGTTTCATTCTGACCATCATCCAGTGTAATATTGTCAGAGCATGAAAGTTTTACGAAGGCAGTAAGTTCACCGGGACAAACATGTTGACTTTCCAGCAATTCAGTCATTTTGCCTGCTTCCATCACTAGACTAGGGACACAGTAACCCTTTGTATTATTGAGAACACCCAAGTCTCCAATGTGCTGGGAAATATTTATATTTTTAAGCTGGTTGTCATACGTCAAAGTATTAAGCCTCAACCACTCTTGAGCATTTATGATGGGTACATTATCTACGGATAGAATAATATCACCGGGTGCCAAATAACCAAACAAAGGTGAGGTTGGTGGTACATCCAAAACCTGTCTCACACACAGCCATCATACATACAATAAGAAAGATGGTGTATAAACAAAGAAAATGGTCAATCCAAAATGATCAAGAAGTAGTACCATCGGGCCATGATCACTGCTGTAAAAGGGAAACAAGAGCAAGGGCAGGAGGAATAATGTCAATCCGCAAGCTGCACAACACTAGAAAAAAGGTTGATGTTGAAGAAGTACAATCAGCGATCTGGACTTATGTAAAAGTCTAAAACAAATAAACAAGCATTCATATACACGTCAAGTCAAAACGAGCTGAAATGAATGTGGAAATGTTTCTGCACTGACTCGGGTGAAAAAAAGTTTAAAATTGGCATGAAACTGTGAGTTTAGAGCAAGTTCACGAGTTCGATTTAGTTATTTAATCTGGCTCAAATTCGCATTAAACCCTTTTTCATTTCATCCTTCACATTTGAAACAGAGGCAGCACTGGAACACAGCTCAAAAACGTAACATGCAAAGAGAACTGCTCCTCTCCAGCAACACACTAAGAAATCCACTCTCTAGAAACGGTCACTGAAACATGACCTTCACAGGGAATGTGCCCAACACTAAAACAGAACCTCTCCTCTCAGGCAGCCATCACTGCAACATGCACAGCACTGAAGGACAACCTCTCCTTATGGAGTTGAAATTGAGTTATTGTTGTCATGATGGTAATGTAGAAGTATACGTCATGTATAGGATTTTTAAAATGACTTTTAACATTAGGTAGACTCTTACAATCAGAGTGTACATAGGTAAAACAAGTTGACCGCTTGACCTAGAATCTCGAGTTTCACAACCATGATATGAATTATATACATGTATTTCCATATACATGTATAAGGATAGAAGCATAGGATTGAATGACGCCTGTGTAAACAAAATCAATCTTTTAGGCACTGAATCAGATGAGGAAAAATAGATTGAAGGGAGCCTCTCCCTTGAACCCAAGGTGATTTCAAAGAGAACATAGAAATATGAAATGATAGGGTACAAAATGACCACGGACCTTGGAGACTCTGTTATCTTCTCCTAACTTAATTAATTCCTAGAACAATTTTTTCCCCTTCTCCCTATTCTATTTATAGCAGTATAACAGCCTACACTAACTCTCCCAAGAGTAACTCTAATAGAACAGTAAATCACAGCACAATATCAAACACATGGATGGTGGAAAAGTTCTGCAACTGTATTGAATGAACAATTACAGAGAAAGATAAAGTAAGAATGTCTGACAATGGTACAATATCAGCCCCAAAAGCTACAAGAGCTTCCCTTACAATGAGAGACTCGTGATCTCACGCCTTTCCAGAATAACAGAACGCTTAGCTACCTATTCTCTCTCATGCTTATACTATATAACTAATTGAATCATACTTTTCCTATCAGAATGCTTAGCTACCTATTCTCTCTCATGCTTATACTATAAATCATGCTTTTCCTATCACACCTGCCATGTCATCATTCTTCATTCCCTTCCCACGTTTCCTAGTGTAGACTTTCCATATTTTGGGCTTCATTCCATTCTGGCCCACATCACCCACCGCACAACCATATTCCTATCAAACTCCAAGTCTTCAAACAAGCGAGGATTGGGGAAAAAAAGGTGAAACAACCTTCTTCAAAAGAGAGGCATGAAATACATTGAGATGGAACTAATTGTAAATTGTAATTGACAGGCTATGTTTTCAATTTGCTTGAAAACTTGATAGGGCCTATAAAACGTGAGTCCGTGACAGTTAGCTTCTATTTCTTCTTCTTGGCTGGAAACTTAGGCCGATAAGTCTATGTCGAGAAAAATCCAATCTCTAATATGGTAAATTGGTAATGCGTCTTTTTTTTTTTTGCAGTTCTACACATTTTGTGCTTTAAGTAGATTAACCTGTAACTAACTCAGGATAGCAAACCACCTCTCCAAAATCATCGATTAACATCCTTTACTGCAGAAGGGATAGTTACTCCTCTTGATTCTTATAAAAGATGGGGAGGTGGGGGTCTCTTCCATTAAGTATCTTTAAAGGGATAAGCTTTGTAGAACTATCATGTTTGAGATTCAACCAATATTAGTCCCAAGCAAGCCATTAAGACCATTTTATCATTGGAGTTACAGCATCAGTATTTTGGATATAGATGGACGAAAAAGAATATACACACAATAATAAAACTATATTGATACTGCAGTATATCTTCTATACTAATGTGAAAAATAAAGCTGTGAATATCAGGAGTTATTTTAAGATAAACTTGTATAACAACTCTCCTTTTGATAAATAGTATTAATTAGAATGAACTTTATAATCCCCAGACACTTGCATATTCTCATTCATTGAGTTACCTCTCTTTCTTCCCCTAAGATGGATATATTAGTGTCAATTTTCCCATAAAATATAACATCTGATCAGACATGAAAAATCAAATGATAGCTAGTTTGAAGACAAGATTAATGTGTGTGTATGCGTGCGTGTGTGTGCGCGCGTGTGTTTGTGCGTAAAGGTTATTGAGTAACACTAGCGTATACATTCCATAGTAGTGTTAATGGGTTCTACTTTTATTCAACTTACAACTGCATTGTGCCAAATCCCCGCAGAATATATGCGGAGGGAAGTCAAATGTTGTAAAGCTTGCAGCAACTCATCATTGAAGGCAACCAGAGCACCAGGAAATAGAACTGCGACGAAGATGGCAATGTACTCTATTTGTACTCCTTCACTGCTTTCCATTGAAAAGGTGCAATAGCATAAGGCATGAGAATCTAGCTTTTGACATTTCAAGCAAAACTAATTTGATATTCTTGGTATCTGCATAATCACAGTAAAAAAACTATAAAAGAACAATAAAACTCTACTGCTGAAATATCATTGGAAATACACCCAGGTTGTTTTGAAATAACATGCTGCAATTCTGATGCTGAAATATGTTTGAAAGCGCTATGGGCTTGGGGCACCTAGAATCTATTCACACTCAATATCTCACCCAGATTCTATTAACTCACAATCCTACATTCCTACTCACGATTCGGCCTTTTCAAACTCATTAAATTCTTCCCTAAAGCTAGCTATGTTGAGTTCACCAATTTATATTAGTTTGGTAAATGATAAAATTAGATGAAGTCATTCTCACTTCTTCATCTACATCATAAATCTGCTTCAACTTCAGATTAAGTTATGGAAAGGGAATGCTATTGATGAGGCATTCAGTAGGAAATTTGTCCAAAAAAAGGCATTCGGTAAGCACGTTAACTTACACACCCTCACCAAAAAAAATAATCAATCAACAAGATGTTTCTAACATTTTAGGAGCAACAAACAGATGAATGTGATCCAGTTCAACCAAAAGGCTCTTCTTACAATAGTTTTTGATATCACTCAGTTTTAACAAGGCATTAACTTGTCTAATATCCAAAAACACTTCTATATCCAACACACTATTTTCAAATTATTAGCAGTGCTATGAACATGCTGTATAAAGGGCAACAAAGAAACAACAACTAACCTAGTGGCGGCGAGTGCATGGCCAAATTCATGAACAAAAACAGATATGACAGTAGAAATACATATATATCCCGCATCAGCCAGCGATAATCTCAAACCAGACAGCAAATGAGGGAACCCAAACAGCAATTCACCTGCAACACTTCGAAACTTAATGCTATCTCCACATAGATGCAAAGCTGTTGCTAACTCCCAAAGCAGAATCTAAAACAAAACAACAAAAAAAAAATCAATCAATCGAATTGGATGAAACAATATACATCAATAATAGGGGAAAATTGTTACCAGAGTGACAGCAAGCATAACAGAAAGGGCGAATCCAAGGCCAATAGAAAACCAGAGTCTGAAAAACTTGGCGTATCGGCGACCGAAGAGATAAATAGGTTTATTGAAAAAAGTGAATTTGTAATCGGAATAGAAGAAGGAAACGGTGTTGGAAAGGTGAGTGGAGGAAGAGGGAGGAGCGTGAAGAGGAAGGAGAGTGTTGTTGGGTCTTTGATGACTCACGAATCTCCTCATTCGTCTCGTTTCCATTTCCATGCTTTTGCTTAATATTTCTCAGTTCATGGTTGAATTGAAAACGAATAAACCACCTAACGAAAACCGGAGGCTATGATCGTCGCTCCGCCGTCACCCCCTACCTACTTAACTTATCGGCCAAGGACAACGAAGTAATTTTGTTTTTTTTTAAGTATTTTTAGTTTTTATCAAAAGTGAACAAGTAAGATTTGGGGTACAAACTAGTCTCATTGAGTTGGCTCTGCAGAAAAAAAATATATTTTGTTTTTTAAATAATTAACTAGTATAAACTCCTCTCTACACACATTTGTTGATAATGATTATAATATTAAAGTTATTCTCGTATATAATATTTATAAAAATATTTAAATCAATAATAAAATTGTTTATAATGATAACAATAATTAAATTAGTAATTTTATTTTTTCTGTTTTAAATAATCTTTATGATATGAAAAAAAATATATTAAAATTTTATTGAAATAAATATATTAAAATAAAGACAAAACTTAATAATAATAATAATAATAACATAAATAAAAAATATTTTATTCCAACAAATGAAGATAAAATTCAAACTAATATTTTATTAAGATTTAATGTTTACAGATACGCATTTGCATACTCTAATAAAAGTATGAAACTGGAAAAGTATGAAATTGGAAAAAGAAAAAACTTAAGAATACAATTTTATTAAGATTACATGTAGAAGATGAATACAATTTTTTTCAATAATTTTTTAAGAGAGAGTGCAATTTTTAAATATAAATTGAATTTCTTTAATAAATTCTCTTAACATTTTTTACTTATTTAAAAAAAATAATTGATAAATATTTATTTTTTAATATTTGAATTTGTAGTAAAGTTGTTTTCCTTTATAACAATAGTTTTTATTCGCGTATATAAAAGTATTTTAAACAACGATATTTTTTTTTGCGTATATAGATATTATTTTTATTTTAACATTATTTATTAAAAAATTAAATTAATATAAAAGTTATTTTCATATATAAAAATATTTGAATCAATAGAATAATATATAAAATTAACTTTTTAAATCAAATATAAAATAAAAATATTTTAATCAACAATGTTTTTCTTACATAAATGTTATTGTTATTTTGATATTATGTAGAAAAATATTTGAATGAACATATAAAAAAACAAAGTGTAAGCAGAAAATCAGGAATGTTAAGCTATAACTATTTGAATAAATATTTGTTCCATCATTCAATATTTGGACAAAATGTGAAGAAATAGCATTGATCAAAAAAATTTATAAAAAAAATAGTCCCGCCAAATCTCACAATATACTCAAATTCCTGTGACGGTACAGATAATTGTCAATTATTTATATTTATGATTCAGATCAGTTATAATAGTAACAGTAACATATCAATATCAATAATATTAATAATTAATAATTATATTAATAATCTATTTAAGAATAAATTGCTATTAAAAAATTTATATTATTTTATATAAATGTTAATTTTTTATTAACTCTATTAATATATTTTTTTTATTAACTTTTCACTTGCTACAATTAAAAAACTTAAAAAGGTAATGAACATAGTAATTATCTCAAATATATTAGTAAAAGATATATTTTAATTAGTCTGTATTCGTACAAAAATTGTATTTAAGGGTGAACAATACAAAGCAAATTTAGTTGAAGGAGATGAAATAAAATAGAAAATTATGTTAATTAACACGTGTGGATTTGACAGGTCATTGCAAATTTGAATTTTAATGCTATTTATTTTTTAAATAATGTTGAGAATTTGTTTGTACTGTTATTTCATAAGATGACATAAATTATATTTAAAATAAATCTAAACAGTGTCCATAAAATAGATAATTTGATTGCACTGTTATGTCATAAAGTGGCATAAATCATATTTAAAATTCTAATTGAGTTGGCTCTAAAGGAAGAAAAAATACTTTGTTTCTTTAAATAGTTAATGCATAAAATGAAGTACTTTTTATGTTTCCTCCTTTTTGGTTGAGTTTATGGAGTGGACGAGAGTTAAAAGGCAGGGTTTTAGAAAGTTTTTTGTTCAAAGGTGAGATGTGTTTCTTATAGGAAGTAAATTAAATGCTGTGGAAGATGAAGGGTTTCATTTTATTTATTTATTGAAGATTCTTGATAAAGTTATAGTTGAAGCGATTTTTGATCAGTTTGGGGAATATGGCATGGTGAAAGAGGTGGTTCTCCCTCAAAAGAGGAATAAATTTGGCAAGCGTTTTGGTTTTGTGAGGTTTGTTGAAGTGGTGGATATTAGTTTGTTAGTTGTTAAGTTGGACAACATTATCATCGACGGTGTTAAGATACATGCCAGCGCCCTAAGGTTTTCTAAGTCTGAGAAAGTGGGTAAGAAAGGAATAGAGACGGATAAAGGTCGGGTTCGTTATCAGCACGTGGAGAGGGATAGGAGTAAAAGAAATGGATTATCGGAAGTTAGAGCGGGGGTAGATATTTCGTAGAGGTGGTGAACTTCCAATGTCCGGTGCTTTTACCTAGAATGGTTCCAAACGCATATGAAGTTTCATCTTGAGGAAGTAGATTTACTGAGATTTAAGAAGGCTTGTTAGAAATCAGATTTTAACAAAGCTACAAAAGTGAGTGGAGGAATATATTTTATTCTATTAATCAGTGGCTAATATATAGCCATCTTACAAGCAAAAAGAAATAACTAACTCTACTCTTTACATGCCTACAAAGTAGTAAAACAAGTAACAAACCCTATTTCTCCTAAAGAATAGGTCTTATTCAAACAGAATAATAAAACAGTAGACTAAAACAAATACTAAAACACTAATACGTGTCCACCTAACATTCCCTCCCTTAAACTAAAACACATGTATTTTAGTTTAACTCCGACGCACTAACCATTCCAAGCATACCACGGAGTTTTTCAAACTGTTCAAGTTTGAGTGGTTTTGTCATCAAGTCTGCTACTTGCTCCTGTGAGTTGCAGTACTTTAATTCTACAACACCTTCATTCACTAAATCTCTTAAAAAATGAAACCGCACATGAATATGCTTACTTTTTCCGTGAAAACCGGATTCTTAGCCAACTGAATGGCAGAGCTGCTGTCACATTGAATTATAGTTCCTTCAACCTGCTCCACTCCAATCTTTCTCAAGATTCTCTTTAGCCATATACACTGACAAGCACATAGAGCTGCTGCGATATATTCGGCCTCGGTAGTTGATAAAGTCACTACAGGCTGCTTTTTTGACGACCAGGATACAGCTCCAGATCCTATCATGAACATATATCCAGATGTACTTCTTCTATCATCAAGATCACCCGCATAGCCACTATCTGTGAATGCCAAGAGTTTTGAACAACCTTCATTCTTTGTGTAGAAAATGCCTAGCTCAGTTGTCCCCTTTAAATACCTCAAAATTCTTTTGGCTGCCAACCAATGTGACATGGTTGGTCTAGACATGTACCTGCTTATGAGACTTACACCATACATTAAGTCAGGACGAGTTATAGTTAAATACATGAGACTTCCAACCATTTGTTTGAACATTGTTGCATCAACTTTAGTTCCTCCTTCATCCTTTGACAACTTTGTTCCCGGTACAATTGGATTTTTCACACTATTGCTATTTTCCATTTCAAATCTTGATAACACTTCTCGTGCATACCTTCTTTGACAAATAAAAATACCATTTGAATTTTGCAGCACTTCCATTCCAAGGAAGTGTCTCATTCTTCCTAAGTCTGACATATCAAACTCTATCATCATTGACTTTTTAAATTCCATACACATGCTCACATCACTTCCAGTAAATATTAAGTCATCTACATAAAGGCTAATTATTAAAATTTTACCTCCTTTTGATTTGGTGAACAAAGTATGCTCACTCGAACATTTCTCGAAGCCTTCACGCAGAAAGTAAGCCTCAATTTTGTTGTACCACGCCCTTGGCGCTTGCTTAAGGCCATATAGAGCCTTTTTTAGCTTGTAAAACTTCCCTTCTTCTCCCTTCTTAACAAACCCTTCAGGTTGTTGTACAAATACTTCCTCCTTGAGTTCACCGTGAAGGAAAGCGCTCTTTACGTCAAGCTGAAAAATCTCCCAGCCACACTGTGCTGCTACTGCAAGTATTGTTCGAATGGTATCGAGTCTTGCCACTGGTGTAAATACTTCGGTGTAATCAACTCCATACCGTTGTGCATAACCCTTAGCAACCAATCTCGCTTTATGTTTCTCGACATCCCCATTTTCATTAAGTTTGGTCTTAAAGACCCACCTAACTCCAATAGGCTTGGCATCCTTAGGCAAATCCATCAATTCCCATGTTTGGTTCTTCTCTATAGCTTTCATTTCTGCTTCCATAGCCTCTTTCCATTTCTTGCTTTTGACTGCCTCTGCAAATGAAAAAGGATCATTCTCTGTTACCATCATCATTGCATGCATATCTTCTTCTTCTGAGAAACCTTCTCCTGTTTCATAGTCTGCCATCCATACCGGTTTTGTTCTGACTCTTTCACCCCTCCCTTCATCTGCAACTTCTTGAATGTTTTCTTCATTTTGTGGTGAATAATCGGAAGTAGTATTTCTGCCCATGACCTCCACAATATTATCCTCGCCGACATGCTCTTTTTCACTTTCATTATCATCTTCTAGCACATCCAAATTCAGTTCTTCTTCAGTTCTTCCCCAATTCCAGCCCTCTTCTTCTTCAAATTGAACATCGTTGTTGATGATGATCTTCTTAGTGATTGGATCATATAATCTATAGGCCTTGGATTCATTGCTAACACCTATGAATACACACTTCTTGCTTTTGGCATCTAACTTGCTCCTCTTTTGGTCTGGAATATGAGCGTGTGCTATGCAACCGAACACCCGGAAGTAAGTTGTTGTTGGTTTCACTCCACTCCATGCTTCCTCTGGAGTTTTTTCTTTTACCTCTGCGGTCAGGCTCCTATTTTGAACGTGAACACACCAATTTACAGCTTCTGGCCAAAACACTTTTGGAACTTTCTTATCAGCTAA